CTTTGCTTGAGAGCCCAAACTCATTGCAGGAGGATTCTGGATCACCTTGAGAAGTTTCTTCAAGCCCAGAGTATTCTGGGATCATAACCTGGCATTGCCTTGTGCTCTCTGAGTTGGGAAGTTGGCACAATTAGCATGGATTAGCATGTCATCAATTAATGCTGCCTTGCACTGGCTGTTTCCCTTGAGAATTCGGGGGGAAGGTGTAATGGTATGTAGTGACTTCTGTCACTTGCTAAAATAAACACTGGATTTCACATTTCACATTCAGAGCTGCTTGTTCAGAGTTTAAGCTCTGTCCATCTCATCCCTTTTTCCTGTTCTCTTGGCTGATGATGTTTTCCTGAGCAGGAACAGCCAGGACTGGGTGACAGTCAATCCCTTTGGACTGCAACACCTCAGTTTATTGTCTTGGCTCCTTTTCCATGTGTAAGGTATCAACCAAAGCTGGAGTGGAGTCACAGGCAAGTGCTGTTTACCCTTCTGTTGACAAACCTTTCCTGGCAGTACCACACACCTTCATAAAAGCAGCTCTTAACCATGTTAATTAACTCTGTGAGCAGTGTAGAGTGTGGCAATAGAGCTAATTTGTGCAGGTTTCCAACAGACTCAGAATCTTCAGGTTCAGCCTGGATAGTTTCTTGGAATGAAGAGGAGGGACCTCTGTTTCACCTCTGCTTGTTGCCCAGCAGTGTCTGCATGGATGTGAGCCTTGGAATATCCTGTCTCCTGGCCTGGATGTCAGTGTGCCACCCTTGAGGGTGGGATATCATTTAATTAATGTCTGGCTTTTCTTCATTTAAGACACACTTTTTTTCTTACTGAGATTGGTGCAAGTTAGTTTTTGTTAAATCTGTTTCAGAGTGTCAGAAATTGAATTGAACACTGAGAAATCAACAGAATCTTTTCATTTCTAAACCTTCCCTGAAAGAGTTTGGTAAATAAATTATAAACCCATTTTTTTTCTGCCATCAATAAACCAAACCAACTCTGCCTTCTGACAACTTTTCCTTGTTTAATAAATTACCTCAATGAATCCACAAAACCTGGTAGTCTGTTTGGCCAGGCCTATTAAAAGCATTAAGATTTGAGCAGTGGCTGTTAAAATGAGTAAATGGCAATATCACAAAGTTAACCAAATGCCAAAAAACATTTTCCAGAGTACTGGGATTGTAACAATACCATTAATGAGGGCAAAGAGGTTTTAATGCAATTTGCACATTCTAAAGTTTCAAAAAGAGGTTTTGAGTTAGTGCATTATTAATGTTCTGAACATCTGGAACTATGTAAGAGCCACAGACATTGAGCAAGTGCAGGGTTTCCCCACTAGGTCTGATGCTGACTGATTTCCTCCCTAGCCAAGAGCTTGTTTTAAGAAGTTTGAGACAGTAAAATGACAATATCCAGAGAAGAGATAAACATTCCACAGTGTCTTTTGGCTTGTAATTGTGTATGGAGGGAAAATTGGAAACCATTAGGGTTGTGCAGTTAAAAGGTGAACATGAAATGAAATAGGAAAATAGTTATTTGCACCACAGATGGTTACTCAGGGTGCACTCTCTGATTGCAAAGGGCTTAGCTGAGCAATTAGCTGGTAAGTTCCATAAGATTGGATGGGGGTTTTTTTCTGTTAGGTGTATTTATGTATTCTGTGAAGGGATAAATGCTTTATCAAGAGTGAGATTCTCCTTGATGCTCCTGTTGACAGCAGCAGGAGTTGCTTCAGGGAGACTTACTCCTGTGTGTAAATATTTGCAGGATATAGGGATCTGTTCACACCCAGTAGGTTTAATGACAGAAATGAGTTCTCTAAAGTTCCATAAACATTAACTTTCTGCATAATTTGAATGTTAGAGAACGTAGTTGATGCTGATCTAGTGAGATGTCCCTGCCCAGGGCAGAGGGTTGGGACTAGATGATCTGTAAGGTCCATTCCAACCCTTAAATTCTGTGGTTCTATGATTCTGTTACAGCTTTGCAATGATACAGGAAACAAGAATGTTTCAGTGTGTCATCTAGGTTTAGATGTTTTGACTACAGCTAACATCCAACATCACATCCACTGGGCTGAGAAGAAAGGAGGCCTTGAACCAGGTTGGCATAGCTGGGGGAAGTTATGAAATAA